TCTGCTTCTAGAACTTTGAGGAATCACCACACTGTCTTCCACAATGGTTGGAGTAATTTATGTCCCTACTAACAACGTAAAAGCTTTCCTTTTTCTCTGCAACCTCACCACCATCTGTTGTTTGACTTTTTAATAATCATCATTTGGACTGGTGTGAGATGGTATCTCATTGTGGTTTTGATTTGCGTTTCTCTAATGATCAGTGATGTTTAGCTTTTTTCATATTTGTTGGCTGCATGAATGCCTTCTTTTGAGAAGTGTCTGTTCATGTCCTTTGCCCATTTCTTAATGGGGTTGTTTGTTTTTTTCTTGTAAATTTGTTTAAGTTCCTTGTAGACTCTCTATGTTAGACCTTTGTCAGATTGATAGATCGCAAAAATTTTCTCCCATTCTGTAGGTTGTCTGTTTACTCTGATGATAGTTTCTTTTGCTGTGCAGAAGCTCTTTAGCTGAATTAGATCTTATTTGTCAATTTTCGCTTTTGTTGTAATTGCTTTCGGTGTTTTTGTCATGAAATCTTTGCCCAAGCCTATGTCCTGAATGGTATTGCCTAGATTTTCTTCTAGGGTTTTTATTGCTTTGGGTTTTACATTTAGGTTTTAATCCATCTTGAGTGAATTTTTGTAAAAGGTATAAGGAGAGGTTCCAGTTTCAATTTTCTGCATATGGCTAGATAGTTCACCCAGCACCATTTATTAAATAGGGAATAATTTCCCCATTGCTTGTTTTTGTCAGGTTTGTCAAAGATCAGACGGTTGTACGTATGCAGTCTTATTTCTGAGTGTTTTATTCTGTTCCATTGATCTATTTGTCTGTTTTTGTACCAGTACCATGCTGCTTCAGTTACTATAGCCGTGTAGTATAATTTGAAGTCAGGTAGAGTGATGTCCCCAGCTTTGTTTTTTTGTTTAGGATTGTCCTGAATATACAGGCTCTTTTTTGATTTCAAATGAATTTAAAAATAGTTGTTTTCTAATTCAGTGAAAAATGTCAATGGTAGATAAATGGGAATAGCATTGAATCGATATGTTACTTTGGGCACTATGGCCATTTTAATGATATTAATTCTTCCTATCCATGAGCATGAAATGTTTTTCCATTTTTTGTGTGTGCCCTCTCTGATTTCCTTGAGCAGTGGTTTGTCATCCTACTTGAAGAGGTTCTTCACTTCCCTTGTTAGGTATATTTGTACGTATTTTACTCTGTTTGTAGCAATTGTAAATGGGAGTTCATTCATGTGCAACACTTGTATGTAGAAAACTATGTAATATCAATAAAACAAATCAAAGAAGATTTATATGACTGAAAAAAGATACTAAGTTCATGGATTGCGAGACTTCATATTTGAAAGATGTCCGTGTTTTGCAAATTATATATGCAATACAACTCCAATAAAAAGCCAAACAAACTTTTTAATAGGTATCAATATGTAGATTCTAAAATATATGCAATCTATGTAATGTACATAAAACGAAAGGAATAGCAAAGACAACTCTTAAAAAGGAAAATATACTTGGAAGATGCATGGGTCCTGATTTCAAGATTATTACAGTAATTATGATAGTGTGAGACTAGTGAAATGATAAATACACACATCAATAGAACAGAATAGAGAGCCAGAAATAAACAACTTACTGGTGCTGAATCAATGAACATCCAGTTTATCCAGTTGCCAAAACAAAACAAAACAAAAAAACCAAAAAAACACAAACAAACCTCAAACCTCAACACATACTTCACATCTTATGCAAAAATTAAATCAAAATGGATCATAGGCCTACTTGTAAAACATAACACTACACAATCTATAGAAAAAAAATCTAGAATATTTTCACAATCTTAGTTTTGTTTATAAATTTTTAGATATAATTTCAAAAGCCCAGTCCACAAAAGAAAAAATATATAAATTGGACTTCACAAAAATTTGCTTTTTTTGATACTGTTAAAACAATAAAAAGACCAGCCACAGACTGGGAGAAAATGTTTGCAAATCATATATCTGATAAAGCATTCATATCTAGAATGCATAAGGAATTATTAAAACTCAACAATTAAAAAGTCAACCTAACACAAAATTAATCTAATAAAAACAGACAAAGGATCTGAATAGATATTTTACTAAAAATGTTTTGTGCAGTTGGAAAATAAACATATAAAGATTCTCAACATCATCTGTCATTAGGAAATGTAAATTAAAACAGCAAAGAGCTAAAACCCCGTAAGATCAATATCAAAATACCTTGAGGATGCAGGCAACAGAAATTCTCATTCATTATTCATGGGAATAAAAAACTGGTACAGCCATTTTGGAAGACAATATGAAAGTTTGTTGTAAAGTTAGAAACAGACTTATATGACCTCAGCATCACACAGAATTTTCGCTACCTATGAAGATTACACAGGAAAAAAAGAAAGAAAAAAAGAATCCTTCATTCCCATTGTATGTAAAGGCCATAAACAAACCCCTAAAAATTGAGATTTTTTTCTGATACTTAACACATTTCATACCTTTTTCAGATGCAGGTACTATACGCCAAGCAAATAAAATTCACTTTCCAAGTGTATTACATTTCCAGGTGCAACTAAATCTCAGATAGAACCTTGTAGTCTTACTGACTTGAAAAATCAGACAATCGAGACTGGGGGGAAAACAGCAGCTGGAAAGTTAAGAAGGAGGTGGGAATTCCAGAAAGCAGAGAGACCCAGAACAGGAGCCAAATTCTATGTCTAAACTTTGCTCACATTTCAGTCTGACTCTTGTACCCATGCGATGGGCAGACCCCAACGGGCCAAATTTAGATTGAAAGAATCTCCATATCAGAGGCTGGGCGAGGTGGCTCATGCCTGTAATCCCAAGCACTTTGGGAGGCAGAGGTGGGTGGATCTTCTGAGGTCAGGAGTTCGAGACCAGCCTGCCCAACATGGTGAAACGCCGTCTCTACTAAAAATACAAAAAATTGTGTGGCACGTGCCTGTAGTCCCAGCTACTCGGGAGGCTGAGGCAGGAGAATCACTTGAACACGAGAGGCGGATGTTGCAGTGAGCTGAGATTGTGCCACTGCACTTCAGCCTGGGTGATGGGAGCAAGATCCGTCTAAAAAACAAAACAAAACAAAACAAAACAAAAGCAAGCAAGCAAACAACAACAAGCAAACAACAACAACAACAACAAAAACCTAGAAATACAGAAAAACAGGAATATATGAGCCACAGACAAGAGAAAAGGCGATCCGTGGGAAGATCCTGGGAAGAAGCAGTGGCTGGGATCAGCAGAAAAGGATTTGAACACGACGTTGAAAGCCATAAAAGTACATGTTCACTGAGTGAACATATAGGAAATCTCAGTAGAGAAAGAGAAATGATAGTAAACCAACTAAAGATTTTAGCACTTAATCTGCCATCAGAATACATTTAATGAGATGGTCATCCAGTGTTATGGAAAATAAAAATAACGCTAAAGTTTGCTTGCAAAGTATTGGAGTTGTCCAAGAAGTGCCATGGGGGTGTGTGTAGGTAGGGGGAGGTAAATGGGTACTTTGTGTGGAACAGGGTACAGGAAAGGAGTAGGGAACAATTAGTGTGTTATGGCGTGTTCTCAATGAAGGAAAATAGTTGGTATTTTCTTCTACAAATAAAAGGTCATGTGTGATAAGATTTAGGAGGCAGGGGAAGACCGGAAGTGGTAGCTCACGCCTGTAATCCCAGAATTTTGGGACGAGGAGGTGAGCGGATTACCTGAGGTCAGGAGTTCGAGACCAGCCTGGCCAACATGGTGAAACCCCATCTCTACCAAAAATACAAAAAATTAGCCCGGTATGGTGGTGGGTGCCAGTAATATCAGTTACTTGGGAGGCTGGGACAGGAGAATAGCTTGACCCTGGGAGGGGAAGGTTGCAGTGAGCCAAGATTATGCCACTGCACTCCGGCCTGGGCAACAGAGCGAGGCTCCATCTCAAAAACACAAAAACAAAACAAAAATAAAACGCAAAGGAAAAGGAGCTGTAGTGATTAAAGAGACGAAAACATGCAAAGAATCATCAAAGTTAACAAGTGGAAGAAGTGGAATGAATGATTAACTCTATCAAACTCAGAAAAATAAGGTAAATGAAAAAGAGAAACCATTCTTCAAGTAATAAGCACAAAGAGGAATAAAATCAAACAGTCTTAACTCTGAATGAACTGAATAAACTCATTAAAAACAAAGACTGTTAGATTAGGTGACAAATTAAAAACTAATAGTAAGGTATCACACACACAAAATTAAAGCAAAAGGTGACCACATCACAAATGGATAGTGAGATTTTTTTGAGTGTTAGCTTGGTGAGGTCAGACTGGAAGGGCGACAGTCAGAAGGGAGTTTCCTTTCAGTGGAGGTGAAAAGCTCCCAGCATGCAAGACCTGTGGCAGCAAAGGTGATGGAATGGGTGATTTCCTGGCAATTCCTCTGCAGGGGATGGGTGATTTCCTGGCAATTCCAAGTCCCCAAATGGATCCAAGAACAACTGGAGCATTTGAAGTGAGCAATCGCCTGAGTAAAGATGGGAAGGAGGAACTGGCTACAGGAAAGGGCGGCTCAAGCACCATCCGCCTTTTAGAGAGCAGGCTGAATTTCCGATCGTTAATAAGCTCTTCCAGAAGGGCAAGAAAATGAGCCCCATCCTCAATCCTCCTCCCCAACCAACCCGTCTTTCTGAAGCCAGAATAATTTGAGTTCCAAAGGCTAATAAGTTCAGTAAAAAGGAAACTAGGTATCAATTTCACATATTAATATGGGGTCAAAAGTTTAAACAAAGTTTTAGCGTAAAGAATCCAGCAACGTGTCGACAACAAGCACATTGTTCCCGGAATGCCAACGTGTTTCAAAAAAAGATGAAAACGCCAATAAACGAAAGCAGAAAACCTATATGGACGCATCAACAGATGCTGAAAAGTCGGCAGCCAAACTTGGTAATTCTTGCATGGGATAAAGGCGGCCGTCTGCTCCGCTCGGAGGGGCCTTCTCAGCAGGAGGGGCCGGATGCAGGCGTCACATCCACCGCGCCCCAGGTCGGAGACCTCGGCCGTCCGTCCTGGCAGCCCCAGAGCCGCAGGCCCGGCACCGCCCGCAGCCAGGTGCGGCCCAGACCCGCGCGCCCGGGGAAGCCGAGAAGGTTGGTGGGGACAGGCTGCCTTGGGCCCAGAGGCTCAGGCAGGACGAGCCGCGCACCGCGGAGGGCTGCTGCGCGGGTCCCAGGCCGCCTTGCTCCGCCCCTCGCCCCGCCCGCGGCCCCGCGGTCTCCGGGACCCCGAGCGTGGCTACCCGGCCCAACCCTCCGAGGGACGAGGGTCCAGCTGCCGCAGACTCGGAGGCCCTGGCCCGGCATCCGCGCGGCAGGTCCTGGCACTCCTTGCTGGTAAGCCCCGCTTTTGCGTGCGCGGTGCTTTCAGAATATAAGGTTGGTTCTTCGAGAAACAAAGTTGTAGGGGGGACGCCTGGAATTTCCCCAAACTGTAAGGGAGTATCTCAACTATATTTAAAAAATTCATTTCAGTTAACATCAGGAATGAGACACCAGTGTCTATCACCATTATTAATATTTTCTTGGAGGTTTTAGTAAATGTAATAAAAACAAAAACATGAAATAACTGACACGGACATTAGAAAATACTGTATTACTTTTGCTCTAACTTGCTTCCCAAACTGGATTTTCCAACTCGAACTCCAGAGCACCTTGTTCTGTGGTTCCATGTATGTCTCCAAAGGGTTAACAGAGATCTTTTATTCGTGTGTGTGTGTGTGTGTGTGTGTGTGTGTGTGTGGTGGGGAGGGGTTCGGGGAAGAGGGTGGGGAGAGAGGAATTTGATATGTCAACCCTAGGCACTTTTATGATTATCAAATAGCCATTGAGGACATTTGTATTACATTAGCATCAATCGCTTTCAAAAATACTTATTCACTTGCAAATTATCAATAATTTAGATTTAACCAAGTTATTGGTAACTCCTTATCACCACGTTTATCTTCTGCTTTCTGGAGATGTCCATATTGATTCGATTTTTGCTTCCCTGGGTTATTTGTAATTAAAAAATACAAAGTATACTTTCTGAATCCTTACCTATCAGAACTCTGCCTTTTGCTTCAACACCTGGTTGATAACTTCAACACCTGGCTTCAGGGACTTCTTTCAGTGTTTCAGGTAAGTCTTATGCTGTTTCAAATTGTAGGTCTCTGGGACCTGTGTATTTTTTTCTCTTTATCTGTCTAATTCAGAGCTTAAAGCCTCCATGATTAGAGCCTTGGAAGTACGAAGTTAGGAGAATTAGAATCCTCAATGGCTCTCTAGTTTTGGTCCATTGTAGGGAAAGCATTTAGTGATGATGTAATTGTGAAGAGACAGTACATCTCCTCACGTTGATGCAGAAAACCAGAACAAAAGGAAGTTTAAGGATGATTACACACTCTTCAGGGTATAAAATAAACTTTTCCATAGAACAGAGATACCCCATGTCAAAATTACTTTATTAATTTCTAGTGTCAAATTTTTAAAAGGTTTCTTAAAAAATGTCTCTTAAATATTAAGATGGCCTAGTCTTTCAGGGAAAATGTTTGTAATTCATCCAGCAAATACTTGATTAGCTGCCCTGTGCTTGGAACCATGTGGATAGGGTTTTGCTCTCATGTACTAAAAAATGTATTTTCCTGAGATGATCTAATCAACTGGAATATATGTTCACAGGGCAAATAAATTACTGTTCAGTGAACGAGACCGGAAGGCTTTGTGGAAGAGAGAGAATTAAAAAAGGGACGGAGGATGGGTAATGGGTAAGATTTCGGCATGTAGAATTCCTGTGCAGGAGGACAAACCCAGCATTCCGGGGAGGGCGGACAACTGGAGGCAGAGGGACAGACAGCACAGGCTCCAGTGTAAGGAACAATGAGTAATTCCACATGAAAATCATGGAAAAAGGCAGAGAAGGAAATGGCCAAGTGCTGTTAAGGATGGGAGAACATTTTCAGGGTCACTGACTAAATAAAGCTAGCACATAGGAATAAAAATAGGCATAGCACATAAAATAGTTTAAGACAAAATACAGAAGTAGCACCTGCTGGTACCATTGCAGAAAAAAAAAAAAAATGAACTCAGCTGGGGATGAGTTGAATTTACCGGCTGGAAGTTTTTAGACATTATAGTCTTCAAGACATTTACAGGGTTAATGTTTGCTACAGCCACTGATTACCATTAATTCTGGGGTGGAAAAAGCCGACATAACTTAAAAATCTTGAAATAGGGCATCATGGCTTAGGTTATTAACCTCTTTACACAATCAAAATTCCTAGGTCACGAGAATCTGTTTACAGGAACTTGCTTAAAAATATGAGGTGTGTGTGAATGCTAATAACAGATCGATTATGTATTTTTAGAAACAGCAGTTTACTAACATTAATCCAGTAAGACTACTAGCGACACTAGCCACACTTTGAAAGGAGCCTCAATAAAGTTCTCTAAAGACAAATGGGATAATCAAAAGTAATACTTTTCTAAAAATTCTAATACCATAGAGCAGAAAACCTTATTCCAGGGGTCTTTACACATCCCCCTCTCATTCCCTCCAAATCCTGGGACCTTGATTGGGGTTTTACTTTAAATGGACTATGTGCCTGTTTTCAAAAAAAGAGATCCAAAGGTATAGAATTTTCCACTTGTGCACTTATAATACACATTGGGTTCCATTTAAAGTATCTATTATCTTTGTTTGTTTGTTTGTTTGTTTTCAGATGGAGTTTCACTCTTGTTGCCCAGGCTGGAGTGCAATGGCGTGATCTTGGCTCACTGCAACCACCACCTCCTGAGTTCAAGCAATTCTCCTGCCTCAGTCTCCCAAGTAGCTGGAATAACAGGCGCCTGCCGCCATGCTCGGCTAATTTTTTAGTAGAGATGGAGTTTCACCATGTTGGCCAGGCTGGTATTGAACTCCTGACCTCAGATGATCCACCTGCCTCGGGCTCCCAAAGTGCTGGGCATACATGTGTGAGCCACCGTGCCAGGCCTAAAGTATCTATCTATTGAGTAAAACAAAGCGAACCTATTTACATTTAAAAAAACTGTTCACTCTCATCTGCAATAATGGCAGCCAAAGACTACAGTAAAGAAGATATTCTGTGCACTTCTTCATGGATATAGTCTCCATCAAGCACCGTGCTCTTTTTCCATTCCTTTTCTAAAGCAGACAGAACCTGGGAATTTATGTGCTATGCTGTTAACAGTTTATCAGGGAGAAATGGTGTTTTCATTTCCTTTAAGGTAAAACTGGCTCCTCCCAAGAATGGCAGTGACATATTCTGAAAAAGTAAGGCGGGGCCTGGCGCAGTGGCTCACGCCTATAATCCCAGCACTTTGGGAGGCCGAGGCGGGTGGATCACGACGTCAAGAGATCGAGACCATCCTGGTCAACATGGTGAAACCCTGCCTCTACTAAAAATACAAAAAATTAGCTGGGCATGGTGGTGCGTGCCTGTAATCCCAGCTACTCAGGAGGCTGAGGTGGGAGAATTGCCTGAACCCAGGAGGCGGAGGTTGCGGTGAGCCGAGATCGCGCCATTGCACTCCAGCCTGGGTAACAAGAGCGAAACTCCGTCTCAAAAAAAAAAAAAAAAAGAAAAAGTAAGGCAAAAGAGCAAAAGTATATTATTTCCGTGATGTCCTTGAACTATTTCATATGAATTTAAAACATATTGTGTTAATTCTAAGAATATAGAAGTGTGTTAATTTGCAGAAATTAAACAAGGAAAAAGAGGAAGGAATTGCCAAACTGGAATTATGTTCATTTTCTTTACCCCTCTGAAAGTAGGAAAGCTGAAAAGGTAATGGAAGAATTTTTCCTATTATACTGAAAGAGGTGCTATGAGATACGTAACAAATTATTTCTACAGTTGGTTCCCGGACAGGTATTAACTGAATTTTTAGAATTAGTATCTGTCTCGGAAGGTGTGTCACTGACCATTTAGCAGACGAGTTTTAGCTGAAATGATATGTGTGTAATCGCCATTTTAGTCCACATGAATTGTCAAGGGAGTTTTCTTCAGCAAAATTTTAGGCAAAGAGCCCAAAGGAAACTGAAAGAATAATTTATCGTACTGACAATAAGTGTTAAAGAAATGCTAAATGCCAGTTTTATCTCCCAGGAACAAGCAACTCATATCCTTTTTTGAATTCTAAACTCACCTAAATTAAAGTTTTGATGCACAGTCTTCGGACTTTTTAAAATTTACAGTATCTATCCTTCCTCTAAAAATACAAAAGTTTTAAAACCAAAAACCTAGAATTTACATTTCATTTCAACAATAAAGTACTGTCCTAGAGCCAGCTATTAGAATATTATATTTATCAAATGAGAAAATACTTATAATTTGAAGAAAAAATGTGATAGCAAATAGAAAAGTATCATCTATTAAAATTTCAGGAAGATCTATATTATCTAAAGACAATCTATAATTTTATTCATATATTTTGTGGAATTCACATATCTTATTCTTACAGCAAACATAACACTGTAGGCCACAAGAAGCTGCAGTACTATTGTTTAATTAGCAGCAAATTAATATTTTATATCTGGGTATATGGACAATAAATAGCCTGCTTCTTTGGATGTGAATGTTTAAAATGTAGTATCACTGCAGCTTCATAATGTGATTGTTATTTTACAGAGCTTATACACACACAAAAAAATATGATCTTTGTCTATATTTTATACAAATACAACAGTAGTTTGTGAATACATTTTAAGTACATGATATACATGATAAGCCACTTGATTTCCCAATATCACAGAATAGCAATTTCAAATGCAATAAAAATATACAAAATTCAGCCTGGAATGCAGATACTTTTCTTTTCTATTTTGACTCAAAACTTTATCATTAGAACATTTTTAGAGTACTAGTCCAAACACTTTTTCATTAGCTAAAAATACAATTTCAGCAGTCCAGCTTATGTTCAGGTATGATGCAATCCGGTTCCTAATGGATTCCCAGTTTTTGTTAAATTCAAAGGGCTGTTAGTAACATACAGCATGTTCTTCACTCCACACTCTATTATAAAGCCCACTTTCCATTCTGAGTGACAGTCATCTTGTGGACAAAAGCTGGGTTTGTTCTGGTAACATCTGCGTGTCCAAGATCTCCTTTTGCAAGTGCACGTGAATAATTGTGGTGGTGTAAAAGTTTGTTAATGACAAATTAAGTCACAGTATAAAAATATATTGTACACTTTTACACCGAATGTAGTCCTTTTTCTATGGATAAAAAAATATGACTGAACGAGACAGAGAAGTTTGTAGCACCATGAAGAGTTGTAGCCCAAGTTACATTAGCAGCATGATCCAACATAATATTGAAGGAGTGTTTCTGAGAAGATAAAACATTCATTCTGGTTCATCTGTACCACTGAAGCTTATACAATGAAGTGTTTTATACATTAGCAATAGTTCTGTGTCATTTCTAGTCTAGATAACATCAAAAAGACACTGCCTGCCATCCTCAGAGGGTTGACGACATCATAGAGAGGCCCTAAGTGTGATCTGGGTGTGCCTTCACCAATGCTCGTCGCATAATCTTCTCTTCCATGATCCTGAAGGAACCCTCTATGGGTTTTTAGCCCAAAACTATACAGCGTATGTAGATCTGTGTGATCACAACAGATCATCTGTGTTGTCGACGTGGCCGCTGACAGTGTGAAAAAACAAGACAAATTCAACTTAGGCACACGTTTACCAGAACTAACAGTCAGCCATTGCTAATGACGAATACTTGACATTTAAAAGATCTCCTCCAATGTCACATGGATCTCAGTAGGCTAGAAGCAACTTGGGTGAACTGGTATTTTTTAACTTACGTACTGGGAAGACAGTGTGCTTTGAGACACGTAAACCTTGTAAAAAAATAAACCATTGTAAAACCTTATGAAAAGACACACACTGATTCTGTGCAATATAGCAAATTGATAAGAAAACACTGTAAAAATGTACCTGTTTAAAATACCATCTACCATTTTTGTACACAAAGCATTATATATCAAAGGCCTAAGATATATATCATCTAATGGCACTTGAAACAAATTATAATAAGTCTTAAAATAAAAGGCATAACCTATAAGAAAGTTTCTGTAAAGGTTTAGATTCATTTTGAAAGTGCTATATCTTGTAATATGTGTAGTATAGAGGTTGACCAAGCTCTATTTTTTAAAAAAATATTGGCCTATAATATGTGTATTGCTCACTAGATGAACGATCCTGAAAATATGTACTCTTTAACATTCATTATTAGCTTAATAAAGCAATCAGCTCTGGCTCATGTTTCAGTCAGTATATGGTTTTTAAAAACCGCTACTGTCCAAATTAACACAATATATCACTATATTCCACAAATACCTAAGAAAAATAAAGCACAAGCAACAAATAGGCCAAAATACACAGCTTGAAAGGAACACTAAATGAAATTAGCAAGTTGCACGAAGAGTGATGCATGATCAGCCAGGACAACTGAAGTTTTTAAAAACTGAACTTGTAATGATTTTAAAATGAAAGTTTTAACAGTGATCAGTATACTATAAAGTACTTGTATACATCAATGGATAGCATTGCTTACAGTGCCAAGATCCTTCCACACTCACACTTTCGTGTTTGGTGACCTAATTTGTACACACATGTGGAAGTGAAACTGAATGAGGTTCAATATCTTGTCTGAGGTCCAAATTCTAAGCTACTTTTATTTAATGTTAATCCCTTTTTTTTTTTTTTTAAACCAAGCTAAGGCACTACCAGAAATTTCAAGGATAAAGATTCTGGCTGCTGGAGGATGAATAAGCATTGGCAATACTTATTTTTAATCATATCTAGTTGACATAGAAATAAACAATCTTTTTCTAGGAAAAAAAAGAGCCAATTCTGTGTTACAGCCTTATTAGAACATTGTGCAATTCAAATAAGCAAGTCTGCCTCATCTTCAATAGAAATTCTCTCAAAAAGGGTTTAGTGACCACTACAGTCAATTTAAAAAACAAATTTGCTGAATTCCCTCTTATTCTGAAGTGTTATTTCAAGTCTGTGGGGGCGGCAACAGGCAAAGAGGTGTACATTTGAAAATTAAGACTCCACAATTTTAACACTGGTGCCCTGAAAGATGTGCCTCCATGTATATGAATTCCATGCAGGGCGAGATTTAGGTATATATACACATACATATATGGCGCTATTCCCCATTTCCAAAATGCTTCATTTAATAAATCCTGGTACTCCCTTTTTTAAGTTAGCAGTGAATACAGCCTAGTAAGGCCAATGTCTCAGGTCACTAATTGGATGACTTGTTAAGTAAATTTTAAACAGAATAAAAGTAGTGCTTCCACACTTGCTATTTGTGATTTCTATTAAAAATAGGTTTTCTATCTGTGCTCTGTCACCAATTTTTTTCCTTTCATATGGTGATTAAAGCAATATTGAACACTAATCATTCAACTAAAGATTTAGGTAAGCAATCTGTTTCATAGAAACTAAAGGAAGCAGTAATGAAGCAGAGCGAAGGGCCTACTTTCAGAGCAAATATTCTCCTAACCAAAAGCTAGGAGCCACTTGAAAAATTTAAAAATGTACTTCCTTATTAACATATATAATTTTAATGCCTTTGGAACACACTTTTTTAATAAATGTAATTTTTCATAATAAAATTTAAATACATAAGTATAAAAACTACTGCTCCTAGGATTAAAAAAATATAGGAGCATGATAAAATATCAGGAGCCAAAGCTCCTTCAGAGAGCAACTTTGATTCTATGAAGTGCGATATGTGTGTGTGTGTATTATATATATATATTGAAGCCCCCATTTACATTATTACAATTTACATTTCTCCACAAATTATACTACTCCCCAATATTTTAAATAATGTATTATATTCAGTAATCTGCACTCATTTTTAAAAATTCTTGGTAAACATTGCAATCTGCAGTAATAACTGGCCCTACAAAAAGGAAAGAAGCTTCCATATAGGGCTAATGAGTGCTCAGAAATATTTTTCTTTCTTTCTTTTGTTTTTTTAAAGAGATATATACTCTTCTATAAACCTCCCCCCCTTGCCCTGCCCCCAACGGAGAGGGTCCCAAAATAAGGTGTTAACAAGTGCTTATTAGATATGTTTCTTAGGTTAATGTCCCAACTGACCCTTAGAAAAATACAATAATTAGACCTTTAAGAAGACTTTGTTGGTGGTCTAACGTGAAGAAAGCCTATAATAATTATTCAGTGAAGATAATGTTCTCGATTATGTTAACCAAGATAGTCTTGTTCTACTTTACTTTGTTCCCCTCTACAAATTTCAACTTATTTGCAACACTCCTACCATTGCCACAGATGCATGAAAGTGGGATTTAACTGCACGTATTTCTAGTCACTTAAAACTTTGTGGTAGTTCCTCAGGTAGTTTTCTAATGCATTTAACTTCAAATTCTCCATCTAAAAAAATTGCAAGGAAAGATGATGGATTCACATTGAATCAGAAAGATAAGTTGGCGGTAGGACCGTTGTTTCTGTTTTCTGCTTTTGGTTCTTAAGGGAAAGAAAAATGTATCAAATTTAGCAAGAAGTGATACAAGCAATATGCTTTTACTTTACTTCTGAAAAGTCCAGTTTTTAATCCTGGCTACAGGGGCCATGATCCCTAGATAGTTCCCAGATGTAACCATGTGCTTCCCGTCTGTCTTCCTGCTTAGGAGTCTGTCACCCACAGAGGCTGAGTCAGTCCACCCTGGGATGAACACACCTCATGGCTGCAGTTCCACAATGGCCCTAGATTATGGACTAACGGTGGATCAATAATCCAAAAAACTGCTGGCTGCACTTGACCCACCACTTGGCTGGGAAAGGTGGAAAAGACGAAAGAGATACGGACTCTGAAGACTCCAATGCCATACATGGTTACTATTATTAAATGAAAAGATGGCATGTGAAGAAGGATGAAACACAGCAAAATATCCTGGATACTAATTTAGGACCAACTCTTAAGGGACACGAAATGCCATGTCACCTTATAAAGAATCTCTTTTTGATGTAAATACTGGTGCTTTGTATTTAGGGGTTGTTTTCCTTAAAGGCTCATAATAGAGATGGCAAATATTTGAGCCAGACAATAGTGAGTCTTCAAAATATACTGATCTGAAATTATGGTGTATCTAAGAAACATTTGTTATCTCCCCTAAACTGGACTCTTAATTCATTTGAAGCACTTGATTATTAATGCCATTTAGAAGCTAGTAAAAAAATTTAAACCTTGAGTTATTCACATGCATTTTATACAATTTACATTCTATTGCTAAATTTTTTAATGAGCCAGATGTCAAAAGGTGGAGCCGTTGTTATTAGACAAAAATGACAATTATAAGATCTAAAAGTGATTTGAAAATGGTATTTGTAAAAGTTTACCACTAATAATGGCTTTCCTATGTGAAAAAAAAAAAAAACCTCTTAAAATATGACAATTGGCAGTGAATCAGGACAAAATACCCAGGTAAACATAACTGGACACAAATGGTTCCAAAGCTCGTTTTAAATGCTAGTTTCTATTATACTGGCTTAATGAAAATTTGTATTATACAAAAGCAGAAATTTTTATACTGTTTTAAAGTAGGCACTAAAATAAAAATGGTCATCCAGGGCACGGCTATACATATATTTCTGTAATAAATCCACGTCCCAGAATCCTACTGAAAAGCTTGATGGAAACGCGGGAGCGTGGTGCTTGTGCTTAAACTGCTGGTGAAAGCTGCTGACAGTGAGTGCAGAGACCCAAGCCCTATAGTGTTCGCAGGATCCTGAAGATCCTGTGTTTGTGGGGGGAGCTGGGAAACAGAAGCATGTGCTTCTTCCTGGGAATAGCTCATTCCAAGGCTCCCCACTGATATAGGATTATAGGGAGGACCATTTAAAGGTATGAAATTAAACAACTGAGAAAAATCCAATGCTGGTGTGTTTAGGGGGTCACTGATGGAGATAGAGCTTTTGGATAGGGAGAGGTCCCCTGCACCATCATCTAGGGACCCAACCTGAGGATCCAACCCTAGCTTAGATGATGATGATGCTTGAGAATCTTGGGATGAAGAGGGCACGCCACCTTGTAACTCCATCAGATAACTCTCAATTTCCCCCTTTAATGGCTGTTCTTTTTCAGGAATAGAAATTGCGTATGAGGTAGAACTGAACGGATATTTGAAAGAAAGGTGGTGAGAGGGATGAACAGTGTCCATATCTATCGGGCATGTCATTCCCAAAGGTAAAGTTGTGATCATTTGGTGGGCAGATCCCGAGCTCTGCATGGACTGAAACGGAGTGTTGTAGAGGTTTAACTGCAAAGTGTTTGTGAATGGCTTTGATAACAGTTCACTGGAAGGTAAGGACATCACCGGAAGGAGCTCGTCTTTTATAGGCACAGATACATTGCAGGTAAATGGGTCAAGGAAATCCACTGGTTCTGTTTTGACCTTCAGAAGCTCTTGATTGTGACTCTTCTTCATATGTCGAGTCAGGTGATCCTTGCGTCCAAATCTCTGTGCACAATACTGACAGAGGAAGTCCTTTCTTCCAGTGTGCACCACCATGTGTCTCCGCACATCCTTTCGGGTGTAGAATCGGCGATCACAATGCTCGCACTGGTGCTTTTTTTCTTTAACCCCACCAGACGACTTGCCTGCATGGGATTTAAGGTGCTCCAGAAGCACTCCCGTGCTTTCAAAAGTTTGCAAACATACCTTGCAGGTGAGGTCACCACTCGTGGCGGCATGCAAGGCCAAGTGACGTTTAAACCCAAGCTTGGTATTGTAGTTCTTGCCACATTCTTCGCACTTAAACGTCTCTTTGTTAGGGTCGTGTGTATGGAGGTGATTCTTCAGATGATCTTTCCGGTGAAACATTTTCTCACAATAATTACACTTGTGGGTTTTCTCAGGAGAGTGAGTAGCCATGTGCCTTTAAACACAGATACGGTCTATAAGTAATTATCATGACAAAAATGGCATGTATTCACTTTTCAAATGGAAACTAAACTGCTACGCTAACACAGAATTCCCTCAGTAATGGAAACTGTTTTAACTTAATATATACCACAAGGATAGTTAATATACCTAATTACTGCAAAACTTGAGCCATTTAAGTTGCCACTTTAGTTTTTGCTGGTTTTCCGCTATCGTTACAAAAGCAAATGAGCAAGACTGAATATACTCACGTAAACGTCCATACCCTTTCCTTGTCGTAATTTCTCTCTACAAATGGAAATTCTACTCATTAAGCATTTTATCTTAAGAAGTCCAAAGACACTAACACATAAAAGTATGTGCTTTAGAATACTAAAAACTAACCAATGTCTAATCTACTTAACATTTCCTCTCTGCAAATCAGCTGAAAAATGTGTATACAAATACATACGCTTACAATGGCTTCAAACAGCCAACATAAGAGAAAATATAATCTGAAAGACAAATAGAGTTTAATACCTTTGTAATTTGTACTTAGAAACAAAGGCCTTGGTGCAGTCTTGTTGTGTGCACTTGTAGGGCCTCTCTCCTGTGTGAGAGTAGGAGTGAACCTTTAATTTCTCAACACTGTTAAAGGCCTTGTCACACAGTTGGCAAGGAAAGTTTTTTCTTGGTTTGGTTTCACCACGCTTACGTTTCCCTGAAGGGACTTTCTGGGTATCTCTTACTTCTGACAAATCACCAGGAATGACAGTGGCCATCGCAGCCTAAACCAGGCCTTCTTGTTGGACACTTGGGAACTGCCCAACTCCACTAAATGATATAGCTTTAGGTGGCTTCTCAAGTTTCATGTGGTCGTAAAAGAAAGCAAAAAGGGACTGGAAAAAAAAAATAAGAAACAACTAGTTTGTAACTAAACTCAATTTTTAAAAATTTTATTTGCTATGTGATGCTTTTGAATTAAAAAAGAAACCAATAAAATGGATTCAGCTGGTCTAATGTAATATCATTACATTACATTAGAAACCCCATAGGTTTCTTTATATTTGTCAAAATACATAGAAATGCATTGCTCAGAATGAACAGTTCATACATACCCTGAAATTCCACTTGACACATGTTATACTTAGGCATAGCAGTAGTGATTTCAGGAACTCTCATGAAGCATCAAAACATGACTCTAAAAGTGGTATTATTGAGCTTCGGTTTTTACAAAAGATGAGAGAACATAAATCGGACTAAAAATGTTTCAGCCAATATTTCAGTCTCTAAAAATCAGTTTGATCTGTACACATCAGCTCTAGTCAGACTGCATTATAGGAAAACAGAGATAAATAAACAACTGGAAACTCTTTTAGGCATCTTAAGAACCATCGAGTCTGTGGAAGAAGTACTTCAGCAGAAACTCTAGAGGCCTGAAAGAGTTGGATGCACCACCCAAAGTAAAAATTTAACCGTTGTACCCGTGTCGTCATACTCTGAGGGATTCCTGAGTCAAGAGTAGAAATGATTCATCTTCCTAACAAATATGAATTCTTCAAACAGTAAAACTTTTTGATGTTTTATTAAGTGAAGAGCATGGCACTTGGTCATTTTGGGAGAAAGACGTGGCGAATGTAATTTTCCTCATCATTTTTCACATCACCGAAATTTTAGGCACACTGAAGTTAGTAGGTAAACCGGAGTCAGCAGGCATCCCTGAGAGCTGAGGGCATCGGCCTTTGGACACACCTGCAACCCCTGTGCAGCAGACCTGTGTGGGCCTCTGACTTAGCACACCACACATCCTCAAAGAGGTGTTTCAGGCTGGTAAAAAGGTGTGTCAGAATTTCAATTTGCTATTGGTGCTGCAAAAAGGAAGGAAATGTACATATTGTACAGCAAGGAGTGTTTCTTTTTAAATAAAAAATTCAAAAATGAATTAAAACCTTTAAAAATCTAACAAAACATAATAAATATTATAGACTCTATTTCTTAGGGTGAGAAAACCAACTCCTCAAAGTTCCAGTTCTTCAATGTTTGTGAAGACTAGTTGAGTGATGTACATTTTTTTTTTTTTTTTTTTTTTTTTTTTTTTTTGAGACAGTGTCTGACTCTGTCGTCAAGGCTGGAGTGCAGTGGGGCAATCACAGCTCACTGCAGCCTTGACTTCCCCGGCTCAAGCTACCTTCAAGTGCCTCAGCCTCTTGAGTAGCTGGGACTACAGGTGCATGCCATTATGCCTGGCTAATTATTTTTAATTTTTTTGTAGGTACAGGGTCTCAGTATGTTGCCCAGGCTGGTCTTAAACTCCCAGGCTCAAGCAGTCCTCCAGTCTCAGCCTCCCAACGTGCTGGGATTACATGTGTGAGCCACTGCACTTGGCCTGGGATGTACCTTTAAGAGACTGTAGAAATAATACTTGCAACCTCTTTAAAAAATGTCTGATTTTTTAATTGAAAACCTGAATATGACTAAATGGCTGTTAGCAACTACTAATCAATTGAATTTTCCATCCTATTACATGTTTAAAAAAAGAAAACCAACTTCCTTATATCATCTGTGTTTTGACATCAGACTGTGTGACGCTGACACTTGCCATATAAGCTAAGTATATTAGGCTGACGTTCACGGATTCTAGTCATACTTTCACAGGAGCTCTAAATAGCTACATTTTTGTAAAATTAACTGTATGTTACAATAGGTCTTGCTGTATTTTAATGGAAAGGCTGTTCCTAAACAGGCAAAATACAGCAATTATCCACTCACTTGATATGGGTAAGTTAATCAGTATTTGCTTCAAGTGTCTTTCTTTATTAGGTAGATACTGGCAAGGTCTTTGTGCTATTCAAACTGTCTAAAAATCCAACTTGCAGTTTAAAAGTGACATTAACACAATGCAACTGACATTACTAACACTAACATATGCTCCTTTTGTTTTAGATTTTCTGGATCTCAAGGACTTCTTGCTCTTTTTCTGTTATATTCTCATTTAAAAGCTAGCTCCTCTGCCTCCCTCAGAAATATCTATTATACAGCTATTCTGCTGTAACCAGTAATGACGCTACAAACTGGTATAAAGCATTCTACCAAGGCAAGAAACAAACTTTAATTTTCATTATTTGATTTCCTAACATGATACTTTTATGCACCTATTTAAAACATCATGGGAAACAAGTTGATCATTTTCCAATTGTAAAATCTACATGGAATGCAACGTATCTAAATCCCTGTATATAACTAATATTTGAAAATACTTCAAAGACTGGTCATATTTGCCATTGTGTTATAAAATTCAACTATAATGGGCAGAGAATTCCAGTTAAGAAAAACAACTTATAAGTTATTAAAAAAATTATTAGAAGTGCACCAATATGCAATATACGAACATTTGATTGTACTAAAATTGGTGATAATCAATGTAGAGTAACAAATACATTCTGTTATCTTTGGATGTACATACTGAGCAATGAAGATTGCACTGATTTCAAATATTACACTTTTCTAAGACCAGCTGAAATTTTTTTCATGGCTGATAATAACTTTTAGTATATTACAAAACTCAAATTAATTATTACAGGTGCATTTCGAACTATAGGATAAGGTTATGAACTCAGTATCTAATAAAAGATAACATTCATAATATGCATATCAGTCAAATACTTTAAAGGTGCATGCATAGAATTATAGTGATTTTTAGTTTAATGCATACCTGATTACAGATGGAAAAAGCCTCAGACTTTGATCTTAGCCAGTCCCATTGACTCTTCGTGGAAGAGAGTGGAATCCAATCCTTCCCATTTTGGCCAATCTATGAAAAAAAAGTGAAAATGGACTATCCTCTAAACGGACCCAGTGTGTAAATGATGGAAAGTACAGAACAAAAGAATTGCGGTTTCGTGGCACATGCTTACATTCCGTACTCTGCTTATGAGTCATGCATTAATTTTCACCAACTATGATGTCTATTAGGTCTAAGCACATTTACATGACCAAACAAATGCATAGATAAAAAGTAAAATAGTATTACCTAGATAAATAGCAATTTGTGATGCTGAATGACTCCCCACTTCTTTCCCAAATTTATTTATTTATTTTTAAAATCTAACTTACCGACGGAATGGGTATTAGAGTTACTGCTTATATACCAAATGATCAAAATTTTATTAAGTTTATGAACGTTATGGAAGTGACAAACTTAGGCCCCTTTTGGAGGGTCCATCTGGAGCCACCCAAAGAACAACAGGCTCCCGGTGAAAGCACTCACACCCATACTGTGGACACTAGCACAACTCGGGCTTCTGAGTCCCACTTTTGCTATCGGCAACACCTGCCATTTTATTTTTCAGAATGCTGCAAGGATGGCTGAAATGTAGCAACAACTCTTTAGATTTCAAAAGCCATGCAAGAGAAGTTAAATACAGATTTGCTGCAGACGAAGGGGGTGTTAGGAAGAAAGTATCATTTGGTTTAAGAGGTCATTGTTGAAAACACTTAAAAAAGCTTAAAATGGGCCGGGCGCGGTGGCTCAAGCCTGTAATCCCAGCACTTTGGGAGGCCGAGGCGGGTGGATCACGAGGTCGAGAGATCGAGACCATCCTGGTCAACATGGTGAAACCCCGTCTCTACTAAAAATACAAAACATTAGCTGGGCATGGTGGCGCGCGCCTGTAATCCCAGCTACTCAGGAGGCTGAGGCAGGAGAATTGCCTGAACCCAGGAGGCGGAGGTTGCGGTGAGCCGAGATCGCGCCATTGCACTCCAGCCTGGGTAACAAGAGTGAAACTCCGTCTCAAAAAAAAAAAAAAAAAAAAGCTTAAAATGTGTATTAGTATCATGATCATTAGTAGACTGAGATAATATATAGGAAAAATTCTGTTAATAATTCATGATCGTACAAGTAATTATGAAGAGAATAATGGTCAAAAGGCAGAATAATCTAGAATTATCTATTGTAGAGAGGACAGGCACAAGAGATCAGTAAACTCAGAATATTTTAAAGATGAACATTGAGAAATCATGATTATAAAGAGAAAATTAAAGTATAATAACAAAAGGATATGTTAGTGACAGGTTAAATAAAAATAACTTTCAAGTTCTTAACACCAATCTAAAAATGTCCCCTGCAATAAAATTTTGATATTGAAGAATTTGATGATGTCTAAATAAATTATTTAATAGAAGGCATTCAAGCATCATTATAAAAATACTAAGAGTATATCTGAAAACCTCATTATTTTTACAGTTTAAAAGATAAGAAACACCAAAAATTTAGACCTATAAAATATATTTTAAACATTAAAGCAAAAGCTCCATTCTTTTGTAAAGCACAGGACATGCATAAATGGAAGAACGAAATTCTGCACAGCAAAATTACAAAATAATAAAATTAACTTTATAAATACTTACTTGCCCAGAGCACATACTGAGTTTTTTTGTAGGTTAATTAAGGATATGAAAGACCATTTTGTGGGTATTGTTATTTTAAGAATATAAATACCTGACACGTGTGGAGTGTTTTCATCTCTATTATCTCCCTGGAATTCAATGAATCTGAGAGGTGGACGTGTTCACCATCACTGTCATTTTAAGGTGAGCGGCCCACAGAAGATGAACAACTTGACAGCGTATGTGTGGTAAAGAAGGGATGAATGCCCTAAAACCATGACTTTACTTTTTTTATCCTACTGTTTTCTATGACAAGGCAGGTTAGCAAACCAATTTGCAAGTGGATAAATCCTGTCACTCTACTTAAAAGACCAGAAGAGGGGATCGTGCCTATTTTCTCTTCTAGAGTTGCCAAATAGGCCAAATGTCCAAAAGGAATTAAATTTAGAACTTAAAAATTTAAAAGACAGTTTATTAAGTCAGTTTTAAATAATTGAAATAACTATAATGTAAAATAATAGCTAATACCTCTGAGTGGATAATGATTTGGGTAGAAACAAGCAGAAAACCCAAGTTAACTAGTAAACACTAAGTTTATATATATTTTCTCCAGTCCATATATATTTTATTGCATCTCAAATACATTCATAAAATCTTTATTTATGCTTATTGTTCAATGGCATTTTACAATAAAAACTTTAGCATCTAAGTATTTCAACACAGTTTAAAATTATGTATCATGTGATATATTCCAATAGTCTAGAAATTACCCATGCTATATATTTTACAATCTAAAATAACACACCAGTCATTTTACTTTGTTATTCCAAAATATAATCTCAAAGTTCTTAATTTCCTTAAATTGAACCTATTTTGAGTTCTTATGAGTTGCCATATAATTTCAAAGTTCTGTTAAATATTTCCCCCCAAAAGAGAAATCGGGACTGGTTAGAAATAATTATTTGGATGGATATAATACAAATATACAGTTTGTATTTATGTAAACATATCTGGAAAGTTAGATAAAATTATCTGTATGTTCTCCTGCATAGTATTAAGAAAAACTTAAAAAGCACTAGGAGCACTATTCTGAAAAGTGCAGCAAAACTTGGTTTTATACCTGTTTTTCCTTTCTACTTAAAAACAAAAACAAAAACAAAACTCATCAAAGATTGGTTATTGTGCTTTTCTTTCTTTTTTATTTTTTGAGATGAAGTTTCACTCTTGTTTCTCCAGGCTGGAGTGCAATGGTGTGATCTCGGCTCACCGCAACCTCCGCCTCCCGGGTTCAAGTGATTCTCCTGCCTCAGCCTCCCGTGTAGCTGAGATTATAGGCATGCGCCACCACGCCTGGCTAATTTTGTATTTTTAGTAGAGACGGGGTTTCTCCATGTTGGTCAGGTTGGTCTTGAACTCCCAACCTCAGGTGATCCACCCGCCTCGGCCTCCCAAAGTGCTGAGATTACAAGCGTGAGCCACCGCGCCCGGCCAAGGTTATTGTGCTTTTCGAGTGATGAAAATTTTTCTTTGCCTTGGTCTGAAGAACTGTGAACCAAAGTAGAAAATACATATACCCATTTCAAAGTGCTCTAAGATGAACAGCAGTTTAGAATACCCTTCTAGTTTTTGTTGGTACCGGAAGAGGCATTTTTTTTCCCAGGGCAGCTTTACATAAACAATGGTTAGAGAGAGTATGGTGTGTTTGTGCACACACACACACAGATTTACCTTCAGATGTTTTACATTATTCTAAAACAGTGACTCATATAGAAAATTAACAAGCAAAAATGAGTCATATATCAGAACATCTACTAAAATCAACTCCTATGAGATACCAGCAAAAGAACAGGCCTGTATTGAAACTGCTTCCATAGTTCTGATAAACATTTGGCTAAGAGATGTGAATTTTTCACTTACCTGCATCAATAATTCTTTCATATTTAAAAGTCAAAGATTTAGCTAATTAAGGACAAATACCATCAACATCAAAGTTTTATTCTCCTTTATGCTAATAAGATGCCTTTAGTAAGCAACACAGAAAATGTCAAAAATTTCCTTAAATCAGGTTTTTTATATAGAGTAAATAAAGTAGGTTGCAAAAGGAAACTTACCAGTTCTTAATACGGTAATTGACATGTAAGCAACACAAAAGAGTTTTGAATGATGTGAAAGAATCTATTACTAAGATAACAACTGAAGGCAGTCAATTCTGAAGTAAGGGCAACAGTATACTTAGAACAATTTTAAGAAACAACTTCAGTGTTTCTGTATAATTTCTAAATTTTTATAGCATTCACTTTCCATAGGTTTGTAAAATCAATTATTTGTGAGAAGTAACAGGAAAAAACTATGTTAAAATAATCTAAGAACAAAAAATAACTGTAGACAGTACAAGGGCAGAGAGGTTATGCCAGTTTTACTCACTGTTTCTCATAAAAGGCAGTTAAAATAACTGTTGAATGAATGAAAAAAATTAAAACAGGGCAAGTGCTTACCAGCACCACAATGACCTACAGGCTCGCTTAGTCCCCGTAATAGACATAAGACAGAATTTATAGTTGGCCCTCTGTATTTGTGGGTTTTGCATCCACGGACTCGGCCAACCACAGACTGAAAATATTTTTAAAAAACTGCACGTGTACTGAACATGTACAGACTTTCTTGGGTAATTACTCCTTACACAGTACAGCACAACAACTATTTACATAGTATTTACATTGTGTTAAGTATTATAAGTAATTTAGAGATGATTTGAAGAGTTCATGAGAGGGTGTGCATAGGTTATATGCAAATACTATGCTATTTTATATCAGGGACTTGAGCATCTGTGAATTTTGGTATCCCAGGGAAGTCCTTGAACTAATCTCTCATGGATATCAAAGGACAACTGTATATATCTATATTCAAGTCAAACATAATGTCGTATGAACACAATGTGGTCTAACAAATTGAATAAGCTAATAGAACGGTATTTTGAAACTAAGCAGCTATTTGAAAAAATCTTAAAACAATAGCAATTATAATAAAAGGTTTTCAAAAACACTTGTTTTGCCTCAGAAAACAAGCATTCACATTCTCTAATGTTAATACTAAGAAATCAAATAATACAAGTAGATCACATTAATTTGACTCCCATTTCTAATAGAAATTTCCAAAGTGAAAACATGCCTGGTGACTGCATTAGTCCCTGATAGAGGAGGAAAGGACGAGACTCTCAGATGGGCTGCTGGTCCCTACAGAGGGGAACAGAAAGGAGCCAGAGCAACTACTGAGAAGCAGGAGACATAGCCAAGACATGCGCCTAACTCGCCCGAGTCGTAGCAGGTCCCCAAAAATGCATTTTGTAACTAGAATGTGGAAAACTACAGTATTTGCTTTCCTGAATTAGATGTCATGGTTAACTAAAGTTAATAAAAAATAAGGAGGCCCTTTCTGAATTCGTGTGTTTTATTTATTATTATTATTATTATTATTATTATTATTATTATTTTTTGAGATGGAGTTTCGCTCTTGTTACCCAGGCTGGAGTGCAATGGCGCGATCTCGGCTCACCGCAACCTCCGCCTCCTGGGTTCAGGCAATTCTCCTGCCTCAGCCTCCTGAGTAGCTGGGATTACAGGCACGTGCCACCATGCCCAGCTAATTTTTTGTATTTTTAGTAGAGATGGGGTTTCACCATGTTGACCGGGATGGTCTCGATCTCTTGACCTCGTGATCCACCCGCCTCGGCCTCCCAAAGTGCTGGGATTACAGGCTTGAGCCACCGCGCCCGGCTATTATTTTTTTTTTTTGAGACGGAGTTTCGCTCTTGTTACCCAGGCTGGAGTGCAATGGCGCGATCTCGGCTCACCGCTACCTCCGCCTCCTGGGTTCGGGCAATTCTCCTGCCTCAGCCTCCTGAGTAGCTGGGATTACAGGCGCGCGCCACCATGCCCAGCTAATTTTTTGTATTTTTAGTAGAGACGGGGTTTCACCATGTTGACCAGGATGGTCTCGATCTCTTGACCTCGTGATCCACCCGCCTCGGCCTCCCAAAGTGCTGGGATTACAAGCTTGAGCCACCGCGCCCGGCCGTGTTTTATATTTTTAACTCATTTTGAGCAATTCACTAAAATATAGCTCTAGAACATCTTTTTGAAATTTACCATAAAAAGTAGCCTTACTGATGTTTAGAAATGTTTTATATTTAGTATACAGATAATAAAAACTAACTGAGAAGTGAGGGGCAATGGCCTGTCTATAAGAACCAACAGGAAAAAGTCAATGAATTCCAAAGTGGAACCAGGAAACCCCAACATCAGTTCTCTTATCCGTACAAGTAGGATGTTCCTTTTCAGGCCACTCATTTTCTAGAGTACCCAGAGAGAATGAATAGATAACCAAACAAAGGAGTATCAAATGAATTTTATCTCCCAATACAGACATATTTTCCTTATGTATTTTATAGAGCAAAAATACCACATTAAGTTAAAAAGTTCTTTTTCTCTTTTGAAATCTACCTTTCATTCTTTTTGGAGACAGGGTTTTGCTTTGTCACCCAGGCTGGAGGACAGTGGTATAATCTCGGCTCACTGAAACCCCCAACTCCCAGGTTTAAGCGATTCTCATGTCTTAGTCTCAGCAGCAGCTGGGATTACAGCATACACCATCACACCTGGCTAAATTTTTGTATCTTTAGTAGAGATGGAGGTTTTGCTACATTGGCCAGGCTGGTCTCAAACTGCTGGCCTCAAGTGATTCGCCTGCTTTGGCCTCCCAAAGTGCTGGGATTACAAGCGTGAGCCACTCGCCCAACCAAAAGCTCCCTTCCAATGATCTATAACTTAGAAGCCCTTCATCTTCACTGCTATGTGGGATGGTGGTGGGGGGATTCCCTATGATTATGTATTTTTATCAAAATAAAAAGACTTAAAAATACAGTGGGTGGTACAACACTGAGATATTTTCATTTTCTTCGCATAGGGCCATTAGTATTTGCAAAGAGGAAATGAAAAAGAAATTGTGCAAAAGGGAAGCAATGATGCCTTAGAGACAGCAAAGAAGGGCAATGATATCTGAAAGCAAAGTACGATTGCTTAATCAATACTTTATTTTTAGAGAATTTCCTGTGCTTTTTTTTTTAAATAAAATATTACCAAAATATTGGTGATCTGTGTCTGATGACAAAATAGGTAGCCCACAGGTCAGCTCAATCTGAAAACTACATGTATCCCAAGTTGTGGTAAGTTCTTTTTTTTTTTTTTTTTTTTTTTGAGGGGGAGTTTCGCTCTTGTTACCCAGGCTGGAGTGCAATGGCACGATCTCGGCTCACCGCAACCTCCAACTCCTGGGTTCAGGCAATTCTCCTGCCTCAGCTTCCTGAGTAGCTGGGATTACAGGCACACACCACCATGCCCAGCTAATTTTTTGTATTTTTTAGTAGAGATGGGGTTTCACCATGTTGACCAGGATGGTCTCGATCTCTTGACCTTGTGATCCACCCGCCTCGGCCTCCCAAAGTGCTGGGATTACAGGCTTGAGCCACCGCGCCCGGCGTAAATTCTTAAATCTTACCATTAACCCCTTTAGTTTCTGAGGGGTACAACAAAAAATGTTTGATACCAACTATAAAAATGTTCACAATGAAGGACCCTAAATGTCTGGAGAACATGCCTCCATTCATGTATGGTTAATTGCCTAATGCTATTAAAATTGCAAATACAGAATAATCCAGATATCATGTTTGAACTGTCAAGCACCCATATTGAATCTATCTATAAATTCAAACACAAAGGTAGACATCAGACTCTTTATAAGAAAAGCACTAAAGAAAGAAAGTTTTACTTAGCTATAAATTTAAGTTTTACTCAGCTATAAAAGCTCAAGCAGAAAATTAGTTTTAAGCCATCTCAAAGTAAAATGCACTTTAAAGATGGGCTTGCGCTGTGGCATAAATGTGTGTGTGCTGATGCTTGAGTAGCACTACAAAATGTAATGAAAACAGAATTCTCAGCCTGCTTCTGGTCTGCACATGCCATCCATCTGTCCTCTGTAACTTATGCCCATGTGGATGTCCAGGATAAAATCACTTCTAGAAACAACCATTTCTATTTATTTCCACACAGTTAAGGGTAAAATGGATCAGTCCTAGGCAAAACTGTAATCAGGGGCAGCTGCTTTCTCCTCTGCCTCCAGAGGACCCCACGTACACCCTGGGCTACAACAATTAGAAGAGATTTATTATCTATATTCCTTGACCATTTCTATTTGATCAAGAATGACCTTGAAAGCCTTACTTCTCTGAACCCTTTACCCTTAATATGGACTGGAAAGCTCTTCTTGAAATGTCTGACATGGCTCTCCCCCAGCAACAGTAAATTCATCTGCAGGGAGGCTATTACTCATCCCTGTATCCTCAGCACCGGTCAGTGCCCTAGCATGTAGCAGACATTTGATAGACACTTGTTGAACGGAACTGTGGTCCCTTTAAGGTAATTTCAGGAATCAAAGCTAGCAGGTAAATATGTTTCAGGTCTCCTAGAATTTCAAACTGGTTATAAAGCAAGCTCAGAAGACAAGCCCCATAGAAATACATGGTTAGTTTGTTTTGGCAGAGAGGTAAGAACTTAGGGAAAGCAACGCCACTGCTTGGGAGTCCGTACTGCTTCTATGTCCCCAGGAGAGGCATCACCTGCTTCGGCAGACCTCAAAAGCCAGGGAGTCTCGGGCATGTGCTACCCAGAGCCCACCAAGCATAGAGACAAACCTGGCAGCACTTAGCAAGCCTGAATGTTCAGAACACTTCTGCTTTAAATGTCCTGTTCCATAGCTCCTTAAGCACATGGAACCTGTATTGATCATGACTTATCATTTAGAAATAGCCAGTGAAGTTCTACAGGAAGGAAAAAGGAACAAAGTCGAATTCAAAATCTTTAAAAGAGGATATTCTTCATGTGAAAATAAAATGTGCGGATCATGTTTAAAATATCAGAGACGAGTTTCAACCGATTGCAGATTAGGAGAATAAAAAAGAAGAAAATCTGCACAAATATAGTTTGGGTAAATAAAAGTAATCACTTTTTTTCCCAGCTACTAAAAAACAACTTCATTAAAACAAGTTCAAACTATAGTAAAGTCTAAAAAGAAAAAAAAAAATCTGTAACTCTTAACACTAAAGAACCATTGATATCTTTTACTTTATTGAAAAAAATTATTATAGTATACAGACATCTAAAATTTTAATGCTAAGTTGATGTGGATGCTTGAACTCCATAGAATGTTGTTTTTTATAGAAAACTGTAGCCAGATTAATTCGTGCACCTTTAGTTCGATTGTCAAGCTCTGTTCATGTATCTTGTGAAACCCTGCTCAAGGCCGCCTTCCCCCATCTGCCCTCAGTGAAGAGCTCAGGAGCCCATCCCCTGGTATCTGGCACAGCCACGGTTGTTTTATTCCTATTCTCCCTATCCTAGAGCTGGGGGCCCCGGCCGCTCAACCTCTACCCTATCTTGAAGGTTGTGCTGACAGACTTACCTGGTACCAAATCCATGTGTGCCTGCATTTCCGAGTATCGCTACACCTTGATTCTGTGACACTGAGCTGCACCTACAGGTTGGGAAATCTAGATACTTGTGTGTGTCCTCTTCCCAACAATGCTGGCAAATTGCTCTTGTTGCACTGGGTTCCTTATTCTAGTATCTGCCACATCCTTGTGAGCAAGTCTAATGCTCCTTTCCACCTGCCCATAGGTAATAGATCTTTCCCAGGAGACATAAATAAATAAATAAATAAATACATAAATACATAAATACATAAATAAATAATAATTAAAAAAAGATATAAGGGCAACATGGGATAGTGTATCACTGAGCCAGATTTAGAGAAAGAAGAGCTTAAAAGTTCATCTGTGGGCTATCTGGGGAACAGGAACAAATAAGTTTTTACAGCAGCTATGTGTTTTTGTGCAAAGAGTAAGGAAGATTGCTCCTCTCTAGTGTTCCAAGCCTCCCATTCGACCGTAATTATTACTGAAGTCCTGCTGATCACAGTACATACTGATAGACCCTAAGATTGTAAGTGGCATGCTTATTATGTGGCATGCTTTTCAAAGCTTTTAGTATCATATCTTACAGTATTTAGGAACTGGAATAATTGATCACTTTGAAAGTCATGCCATATAATGATAAAAGCCACCTACCTGAGGCCCTGCTCCAAACTCTAGCAAGGCAACCTTATTAATAGACCGTCACAGAATGAAGCATTCTGGGTGCAAATACGGCCAAGGCAGCACCAAGAGGCAACCTAAAAAGAAAAGAAGAGTTAGTGTGAAATTCCAAAAGTCAGGCCAATCTAGTTAATGGCATATGAGCCAAACTGCTTTCAATCCATTATCGCTTATTCACATTCTTTCCACTTTTACTGAAAAAAATCGATCTTAAATCCTATTAAAAACATTTATAAGTGCATTGAAAAATGAAAAGTATAAAAATTCATATCCCTAGATTTATATATTTTCCCCTGAATCACAGTTATCTAGATTATTCACATTTTCATTTGGATACATTATTTCAAGTTTACTGTCATTTCTCAAAACTGCTGCTTATTTTCTTTATGTTCTAAACACACCCATTATCTTCTCTGCAACACAGTTTTCAGAAAAACCTTTAGTGGTGTCTAGCTTGTCCTTAACAATCGCTACGGGAGAAATCTTGCCTCTTGAGTGCTTTCCTCAGTCCGAGACCAGGCCATCTGTCCACAGAGAAGAGCGCAAGCCACTGAGCACTCTAAAGCAGAGGCGGAATAAGGAGCCAGGGACAATTTCTGAGCTCTTGAATTAGTCTTTATGATGTGATTATTGCTTGGTTTCAACTGAATTCCCAGGTCATGTCCATCTTCGACAACATACAAAGAAAATGCAAAATGTATTCTGAAGTATTCAATGTTTTGGGTTATCTTCAGCATCTTTCTGTTGGTGCAGGTTATGGAGACCGACCTCTAGGGACATTAACTAAGAGAGAAAAGGAAGCCAGAAGTTCGATGCAGAAAATCACCTGCTTCATTTCTCTACACCAGAGGGTCAAGGCTCAATTATACATGGTTACTGCTCTACTAAGACGAATATCTGATACTGATGGAATAAACATTACCAATACGCATTATGTATGGTACCAATCTGACTTACCATGGGTGCAGATAGACATGATTCTCGTTCTGTAGGAGCACACAAGCTAGTTGTGGCTACAGAACATATACTTTTTGTCAAGTTAAGAAATAGAAATGTTAAATACAATCTGCCATAAGGTGGTATCAGAGTGACAAATCAACATTTAAAAATAGTATTATATGGTATAAAAAAGTACCACAGTAGATCGGAAAAGAAAATAATATTAAGGATATTTGATTTTTGCCTCAAAAAAATGTACAACTAAGAGAGGTAAAATAAAAAAAGTGTGTGTGTCGTTATAGGGGTGGGCATGACTTGCCAAAAGAAGTCAGAGATTAGAACCATAGATGACTGGGTTCTAAGAAGACCTTGTGGCTGCCATGTAGCATAGTTTATACATGCTTTACAGATTCAGATAAGAGAAGTGCCCAATGGGCTGCACTGCTCACACTCATGTACTCCTTACAGGACGTCTGGCAACCGTAAAACACTGAATGGATTGAAAGCACTGAGAATAGCAAATACCTGGGGAGGTAGGACCAGAGAGGGGAGAAAGGAAGTGCTGGTTTGAATGAGACGCGGAAGATATGTGTTGGAGTTACCCAAAGCAAAGATGAAAACCACCAAAAACAAGATTTACCGGAAGTCCGCTTATGTGCCTAACAGTATTCATAAAAAAAGATATGAGGAAAAAAGACAATAATAGTTGTACAGCCAACTCTTACAGAGACAGATTCAAGCCAAATTACAGATTAATTATTGATAGAGCCTAAAGATCACCTCTATGAGGCAAAATCAGGTAATTTAAGGGGAGAAAGAGCAAAGATAGAACTTTTTGGTTTTTGAGACAGAGTTTTGCTCTTGTTGCCCAGGATGGAGTGCAATGGCACAATCTCGGCTCACTGCAATCTCTGCCTCCCAGATTCAAGCGATTCTCCTGCCTCAGCCTCCCGAGTAGCTGGGATTACAGGCATGTACCATCACGCCTGGCTAATTTTCTATTTTTAGTAGAGATGGGGTTTCTCCATCTTGGTCAGGATGGTCTCAAACTCCTGACCTCAGGTGATCCGCCTACCTCAGTCTCCCAAAGTGCTGGGATTACAGGCGTGAGCCACTGTGCCCAGCTTGAACTTTAAGGAGAAGGAAGAAAAATGTGGAAGAAACCACAAAAAAATAAAACTGCTAAGAATTACAGAACTGACCCATAGGTTCCCCACTTAGGCAAGAAAAGTTATTGGGCGGAAGGGAGTCAGAGAATGGGGGGAGGGAGAATGAGAATGAGAATGTGTAAATAAGGATAGCTCCTTGGTGATAAGGAAATGACATTCAACAAGAGGATGTTTTCCTTCTAGGAGCTTTGCACCTAAAGAGAAGAGAAGAACAAGGTAGGGGGTAACTAAGGGGGAACTCTAGATTCCAGGGAGAGACTAGAGAATGCATCCATGCAGAAGATAAAGAGGTGGGGAAGAAAGTGGGGCATTCTTGGAAGAATCAGAGTAGACTGGGATCAAGAGAAGAGGGAGAGGCTTTTGCCCTGGATAAGAAATGAGGCTTTCTAAAATAAATAAATAAATAAATAAAAATCAAACTAGACTTAGGAGGGAGGGATATGCATCCTGCCAAGTTTTTTGGTAGCAAAGGCAGGAAATGCATGGAGTTTGCTCACCTCGGCCAGTGCTGAGTGGAAGGGGCCTATGTCTGGAAGGAAGGCGAAAGGAGAATGGCACTTGGCTAGCAAAAATATTTGCCTTTGAGAGAAGCAGAGGAGTGTTCAGGGTATTCTTGAGGGTTTTACAAAAACAAACAAACAAAACCTGTGATAAGGGATTAAACTACTTAGGTACAACCGATGGGAGTGTAAATTGTTGAAACTTTTCTGGACTATATTGTGCAACGATGTAATCAAAGCCATTTAAAAGCCTGATAATTTATTTAGAAAAATTAAAGCAAAAATATAAAATATTTGAGTTTAAAGATGTTCAGCCAGGCATGGTGCTGCAGGCCTGTAATCCCAGCATTTTGGGAGGTTGAGGCGAGTGGACCACCTGAGGTTAGGAGTTCGAGACCATCCTGGCCAACATGGTGAAACCCTGTCTTCACTAAAAATACAAAAAAAATTAGCCTGGCGTGGTGGTGGGCACCTGTAATCCCAGCTATTAAGGAGGCTGAGGCAGGAGAATTACTTGAACCCAGGAGGTGGAGGCTGCAGTGAGCTCAGATTGTGCCATTATACTCCATCCTGGGCGACAAAATTGAAACTCCATCTCAAAAAAAAAAAAAATGTTCAAAGTATATTTTAACATTAAAAATTGATAATGTCAAATAAAAGGGGTGAAGTGTGACATACATGTGATAGAACAGCTATGCAGCCATTAAAAGCCATGCAGTTAAAGAATACTAAATCTCCCAGGAAAGAGCAGTTAAAGAATAGTAAATCACAGTGGGGAAAGTTATAATGTTAAAATTGTAGAAAGTGGGACACACAATAAATATATACATTATGATTCTAATTTTTTAAAAGTATGCACTTCAAATGAGCTCTCCCTTTCCCAATACTATTAAATGTACGTAGCTAAGTTATAAATGGAAGATTAGGAAGATATAAGCTTTATACTTTTCTACATTATACAAATGTCTTTAAAAGCTTTATAATCTTTGCAATGTCTCTACAATCTTTACAAATGTCTTTATAATCACAAAAAATTATTTCACCAAAATAATGTTTTTAAATAAATGCTGCTGGAAAAGTTTGATATCTACACAAGAAAATGAACTTGGAATCATATCTCACACCATATAGAAAACTTAACCCTAAATGGATCATGAACCTAAATGGCAAACCTAAAACTATAAAACTTCTGGAAGAAAACAGAAAAATGTCTGTAGCATTTATTTAGCTAAAAATTCCTTGGTCATAACACCAGAAGCACAACCCATAAAATAAACACACTGATACACTTCATCAAAATTTAAAACTTCCCCTCAAAAGACAATGTTAAGAGAATAAAAAGGATAAACCATAAGAAGATTAGAACAATGGGCTGGGTGCGGTGGCTTGCGCCTGTAATCCCAGCACTTTGGGAGATCACCTGAGGTCAGGAGTTCAAGACCAGCCTGGCCAACATGGTGAAACCCCATCTCTACTAAAAATACAAAATTAGCTGGGTGTGGTGGCACATGCCTGTAATCCCAGCTACATGGGAGGCTGAGGCAGGAGAGTCGCTTGAACCTGGGAGGCAGAGGTTGCAGTGAGCCGAGATCACGCCACTGCATGGCAGCCTGGGCAACAGAGTAAAACTGTCTCCAAAAAAAAAAAAAACAAAAAAAGATTAGAACAACATCTCTGCAAAGCATGTACTTGATAAATTACTTATATCCAGAATGTATAAAGAACTTCTGAAACTCCACAATAAAATAAAACTCAGTTAAAAAGATCTGACCAGATATTTCACAGTGAAAAGATAATGAATGGCAAAGGAGCACACGAAAAATCACTGATCATTAGGGAAATGCAAATTAATACCACAGTGAGATAATGCTATCTACCCATTAGAATGACCAAAATTAAAAACACTGGACAGTATCAAATACTGCTGAGAATGCAAAGCAAATACAATTCCTGTCTACCATGGATAGGAAGGTAAAAATGGTACACTGCTTTAAAAAACAGTTTGGCAATTTATTTAAAAGTTGTACATGTGTCTACCCTGTGACACAGTCATTTCACATCTATTTACTCAAGAGATCTGAAAACATAAGTCTTCACAAAGACTTGTTCATGAATATTCACAGCAGCTTTGTTTATAATAGTCAAAACTAGATGCAACCCAAAGGTTTATCCTTATGTGAATGGATAAAATCAAGTTGTAGCTGGGTGCAATGGTTCATGTCTGTAATCCCAGCACTCTGGTAGGCCAAGGTAAGTGGATCACTTGAGGTCAGGAGTTCGAGACCAGCCTGGGCAACATTGTGAGACTCCATTTCTACTGAAAATACAAAAACTAGCTGGGTGTGGTGGCATGTGCCTGTAATCTCAGCTACTCAGGAGGCTGAGGCAGGAGAATCGCTTGAACCTGGGAGGCGTGAACCTGGGAGGCGGAGATTGCAGTGAACTGAGATCACACCACTGCACTTCAGC